GCAAAACTTAGAACTTCAGTTCTGAAAGTAGTCATTTTTATGTTCACTTTGTTTTAAAATAGGAACATGGCTAAGAATTTCACTGGTCTGTAAACTTAAGATACCAACTGCAAAGGACAAATGTAATGTTCCATAACATGAACGGACTTATATTAAAAATCAGGATTTCATTTGTGGGTCATTTGAAGAAAAAAAATACCAGGATCATTAGGACAAATAACATTTTCATTCCCGTTGTGGGGCAACCAAAACATGGACAGAGAACAGAGGGAACACAGATACAAAGGCCAGCAAAGTGCAAGCACCAATGGATAAGAACTGAGAACCCAGCAAAATACCTGGTGGATGGATGAGGCGGCACCCTTGTTTTCAGCTCTAAAATAACACAGTCTGGGTGTCCAGACTTCTGAATTCCAGACAAATAAACAATTTAAACCTGAATCTGATCGAGCCTCACAGGATCTACCAGTTTACCACACAGGGGACAGAAAAATGTGTTCATTTCAGTGACAGCATACTTAGTGAACAAACCCAGGAGAAAAATTCTTCAGGACATGACCCAATTTCTTCAAGTAAAAAATATGGAGAAGACTGTGGTTAAAGTCAATGCAACATATTTGGACTTCGAACAAACCAATTAAAACAAATTAGAGAAGAGAGCTCTCTGGATACTGACAGGGGTAGTATGGCATTACTTTTAACTCTTACAGTAAAGCTATATGGTTATGTTTTAAAAGTCCTTAACCTTGTGGATTGAAATACCTGGAAACAAACTTACTTGTGGGGAATTTCTTCCCAATAGGAAGGGTGGGAGGTGGAGTGAAGTACAGATTGAGTACGGTTTGCTGATCATTACTTTTGGAGTTAATAAATGGATATGATAGGTATTCCACAACTTCGTGTTTGAAATTTCCCATAAGTTTGAAAATGAGTATTACTTTTAGAGAAAGTTTTAAAATAGCCATAGGACAGCATGAGGTTAACATCCTTTGACAACTTAGAAAATTGATAACAGACGATAAGACAAAAATCAAGACCCTGGAAAAGATCTTTCTCTAGCCCACAAAGCCACCTCTAAAAACACCTTTTAACATACAAACCTCATTCCACATGCAGGTTTATCCTTCAGAACTCCCCATCTTCACAAACAACCCTCACCCACAGCACTCCTGTTTCAAAGCAAAGATAAGGCACATAAATAATTTAGACACTATTAATAATTTAATACTTGGGAGGCTGAGGTGGGAGGATCACTTGAGGCCAGGAGTTCGTAACCGACCTGGGTAATGTAGCAAGACCTCGTCTCTAAAATAAAAAAAAGTTAAAAAAAATTCAAGATTAATTTGCTAACAGGGCCTTTGCTGACATTTGCCATTCTTCAATGTCTGTCTTGTAAAGGAAACTGTTTAGCATTTATAAGTAGTTAGCTTTTCAGAAATACCAATTTATAACTCAGCAATGTGTACTACGAATCATGCAGAAAAAAGTCTGAATAAACTATTTACCCTTTCAAGCATGAAGTGGCTAATTTATGCTGGGTCTTGTTAGTTTCTGGTTAGTCTTTATAGTTAGAACTGTAACTGATTTAAGTAGCACAGCCAATACTATTACATCTTAAGGAGTCTTATCTCCTTCAAAGGAGTTGCCTTGTGAAGCTATTTTTTCCAGCCTCACCACCTGCCATTAGTGAACATGTTTTAAGTCTTTGGAATCCTCTTCAAAAGCTGTAACTTAAAAAAAAAAAATTCTTAGCAGTAGTACATCTTCCTCTCTGTGGGTGTTATTTCTTGAAACAGCAACAAATCACTTGGAGCCAAGTCTAGCGGAAGAAGTAATTAAAGTAGGTAAAATAAATGTAATGGAAACCTTCATGTAATTATAAAGTAATGCAACATTTTGACTTTCAAGATCTGTAAACTGATTTCCAAAATGTTGAAAAAAATGATTAAATATAACTTGAAAACATTAATTTGGACACAAATTTTGGCTTTTCTTCAAAACTTCACTTCTTTGTGGTCTGAATTCTCCTAGCCTTCATGAAGCCTTAACATTAAGTGCCTATACAGAACTGCTGAAGCTCAATAGTACTAAGTTTTGGTTCATTCAATAGGGCACCTCATTTCAAAAATAGTACTTAAATCGGACTCAAAATTACCTTCTGGGACCATTCAAGAGAAAATCAGGTTTTGAGTTTAGTGCTACAATGTAACATTAACTGTAACACTGTTGGGCCACTCTCATTTACTTTTTCCATATATACAATGACGGCTTGAAATAGCTCACAATGCAGTTAAGAATAATCATCTCAAACTACCATCTAATGGAGGAAAAAATACGTTTGTCAGAAAACCAGTACAGCCATTTTGCTATTAAAGTTTTGCTTTTTAATAATTTATTTAAATAAGATATTTGAAGCAGTTTAGAAAAAACAAGATTTGTGTTTTATTTCCTTGTAAAAATCTTTACACATGCAGACAAACCAGTGTTAAGAAAGTATTCACCATCATTTAAACAAATAACCACTTAAATAGAACAGTGTCTGCAATTTTATCTGTATAAAAATAAGATACATTTTTACAGAATTCACGCTCCAGTTCTTATAGCAATAAACAATACACAACTATAATAAAGTACAATTGAACCTGACCATGGTTTTTAATTAGATACTGCTAGGGCATTTTAATGTGCAAAAAATTAACATAGTTCTTCCAACAGAAAATGTCCTCAGTGTTCTAGAGACCTAGAGGGTTTCAAGGGATCAAATCCTAATCAGTTTGCATTTTATGTTTTGATTGAGTCCATACATCACACTGTAGATAGGTAAAACCAAGAACTGATGCAGGCTCAAAGAAAGAGAAAGTCAGCGCCTGTGCCTGCCATGTCCTGAGCGACTGCCACCGTGGTGCTTGCTTTTATGGGACCTCTCAAAGGAGCGAGATCGTTCACGCCTGTCCCTATGATGTCCCCTTTCATGCCTGTGTTTCTTGGCTGCATCTGAGTGATCCCGAGACTTGCTCTGAGATCGAGAACGAGATTTTTTCCTTTTATGACCATGTCTGTTTGAACTTTTTAAATCATCTCTGGTATGCTTGGCCTTAAGGTGAGGAGAACCATGATTATGATGTCTTCGAGGGCTTTCACTGTGACTGCGGGACCTGCTTCTTGATCTTGAGCTGTATGTTCCAGATCGACTCCGTCTATTATTATAGCTTAGATAATAAAAATTTGAAGTTTAGGTTCAGTTTCTATGGGGGAAAAGATTATTCTGGTGGTTGCTCATAACAGGTTCAAAACACAGCTACCAGCTTTGTCAGTAACCAGAACTTTCTAAAAATCTCCCCACCCCTGACTTCTGTATGCCCAAGCCTGTAACATATTAAATCTTAAGCATATGTTCTTATGTCTATATTCCAAGGGGAGTAATTAGCAGTTTTTACAGTGTCCTCCTAGAGCTATGCTTTTTATTAAATATCTCCCACATGTTCAAAGGAGACAGTGAAGAGCCACAAGGAGCTAACAATCTAATTACAAGCCTAACTAGGGAAGATTCATTGACTGGTTAATCTGATTATTGGTTATTAACAAGGGGTTAATAAAATACATTTGCTAACAGAAATTAAAAAAAGTTTTCACATTACAAATGATACTGTGGCCCTCACAGCACTTTGTGGGTAGCTCCTACACTTCTCCAAAAAACATGGGAGAAAACATAACAGAATGCCATTAAGATCCTTTATGTCCAGAACATCTTCAAACTAATTTCTCCTAATTTGCCTCATATTAAAAGCCTAATTCTAATCTAACTTTGAAAACAATCTATATTCAAATTTTAAAGAAAAAGCAATAACCTTTAAAAACTCCAAATAAGACTGCTTTCCTAAGAAAACATTTACTTACTGTCTTCTTGGAGTATGTGATCTAGAACGTGATCGTGTTCTTGACCTTGATCGACTTGCACTTCTGCTATTTCTACTTCTTTTGCTGTCTTTTCTTACACTTCAAAAAAAACCACAATACATTAGTTACAAACTTAGTGTGTTAAAAAGTAAACACACAAAAAATTCCTCAAGTCAATTTTCCAGCCCAAGTTTACTCACCCATTGTAAGGGCTTTTGGAAGCCTGCTGTCTATCCTCAGGTTCTTTTTTGACTGTCTTCACATTAATGGAGATTGGTGATTTCTCTTCAGCTTTTACTTCTCTTGGTGATGCTTTAAAAGACATAACAACATGTTAACTACTGGTTTTAACAGAGGGTGAAGAGTTGTTTCTAAATGTAACTGAAAGTACCGTGCTTCCAAGTATCAGTTTTTAGCTGACTGCCAGAGAAAACATAGTAACAGTTCCTTAACAGCAACTTTCAAATGTAAAAGCTCTCTAATAAAACACTTTCAGTGCCCCCAAGTCATTTTAATTCTAAATACATCTTACATGGCTTGGAGGCTGGAGAAAATCCACCGAGGGTTGAAAGGGCTGGAGTTCCATCAGGATTCAATCCCTTTGCTTTTAATTTGGCTTCTTGTAGGGCTACTTTTCTTTTTTCTACTTCTTTTTCCAGTAATTCATAGTTTGGCTGTTTAAGGAAAAAAAAAAAAAAAAAAGTTTGTGTTTCTCCCTTATAGTAGCTTAGACTCTTAGCATGTTGACTTAAAAGAGTAAATAGATAATACCTTTTTTCTGGTATAAAGCCTAAGTGTTTCTATGCAGATATCCTGGATTTCCTCTTCTGTAGTACCAAAAAGAAGAAACCAATGGGGACGAGTTGGCAATGGAATCTAAACCATAAGAACAGAATGGTTTAAATTTTTGTTATATCTGTATTGGAACCATGGAAAATTTGTGTTATTTATCCTACAGAACAAAATGGGAAATAGGCACCTACCTGAAGTGCTCTAGCTGCAAGGTAGATGCAAGCACATGCTATAGTCTCTGGTTGAAATCGAACAAAAACATTGGTTCGTAGACTGTCGTTCATGTAATTCCTGAAAAATATTTCAACTATAAGCTTGTATGTAAACAAACCAGTTCTTCTGAAGCTTACATAAAATTGGAGACTCAATCTACTTTATTCTTTTTTCTTCTCTTATTTATATTCACATCCTCATATTCTAGCATATAACAACTCTTAACTCAAAAAAAAGCAGTAAGCAGTAAGAATTTAATACGAGGACCATTTGCAGTTCTCCAATATATATGACCAAAGCCCCTTTAAATTATTTCGTATTACTATCCAACTAGAAATTACTCCTAAAGTATTATTTCTGTAAAAAGCAATGCTTTCAAAGTCAATTCTGACAAGATTAGTTTCAGAAATGATAAACCACTCCAACAATACTTCAAGCCATTAATTATTGACCATCTCTCCTTTATCCACAATAAAGCTGTGTCAACCAAGTTCATTTCAAAAGCTCAAAGTATCGTTAACAGGGGTAAAAAAACATTTTCAGTAAGTACCAAGTTAAACTTACATTAAGAAAGCTAAGATACTTTAGAAAATCTAGATAGGGAAGTAAAGAGCAATAAAAACATAATGGCCTTGTTTACATACCTTTTTTTTGTGACTAGGTAAAAGAGATAAACTATTTCAGTTAAAAAATTGCTGAACTTTTATTATTAATGAACTCTCCCCACAATATTCCTAAACTAATAAAGAAAATTTACAGGTCATTTAAAAGGTTAAGCTGAAATTAAACGGACGATTTCTAAAAAATCCTAAACCATCAGAACTGCTATAATCCATTTTATGAAACACATTTAAAATGTCATGCATTTTATAAAAGTAACGAGACTTTTCTAACATTACAAACATTTACTGAGTCCAAAAGAAGCATGGCAGTCATAAATAGGACATCTTGCTGGGAAGTCCAAAATATAAAAATTACTTCACTAAGTCCTTCACATCAAGTCTTAAGGAAACAGTAGTTGTGGCTGAACCACAAACTCCTTGGCTTGACCTTTAAATAAGCCAGAACGCAAAATCACACATCTGCATCTCAAAAAGTCCAAGTGCTAAAGCATTTAAGCAGTATAATAGTAACATCTCTTTCAATAACGAAGTGCTTCTTACTTCTAACATTACCAGCAATACAGCCAAGCAGCTATATAACTATATAAATTAAGCCAGTGTGGGAACTGGTGCCCATTTTAAACTGCAAGTTTGTAGTCTCCTTTGGTAGAATTCATGCTATACATACTAAAAATAAAAATTTAGTCAAACTCCTAATAAACCATTTAATTCATAATGGCTGGACAACAAATCTATCAAAAATGAACTATTCATTTTGATAGTTACAAGTATACATTAAATACATAGGCATGTCAAATAGTTACTTCTAGAAGCAAATATACAAATCCTTTTGACACCCCGACAGAACTAGAAGATGCTGCCAGATGGATATGGACCACTTCAGTGAATCTCGGATGAGAGCTTGCACTGGATTGGCTGGAGAGCAGGGTAGCCAATCAGGCCATCCTGAGGTCATGGGCTGAAGTGCAGAGGGCAGAGTTCTATGACTTACCATCATGGACTACCCTTTAATTAAAGAGTAGAAAAAAGAACAAAGTTAAATTGAGTTCTCCATTAAAAGTAATTAGTCAAGCCAAGAAAACAGGAAGCAGAAATAAGCATTATTTACCTTTTGGTTAAAAAAACAAAAACAACAACAAAAAGCCCCAAAACAAACTTATCTCATTATTTTGGAAAGGGAAACGAAACTTACTTTATTTCTGCTTCTGTTTTCCTGGCTAGGAAAGAAATCTAAAAAAGTGACTTACCAGGCAGTTTGAACCAGGGTTTGATTACGTTCACATTCTAAGACTTGTAAATACATAACAATGATCTGAAGGACAAGGGAAAAAAACTCAGTTTAGTATACTGGTAGTTCTTTCAGACTACAGAGTTCAATAAAAAAAGTAACTGAAAATGTTAGATTCAAGTTCTAATTCTACATCAATAAGACAGACCAACTTAAATGTATGTAAGATTCTAATGTGAATTGTATTACTAGATTTTTATATAAATTATGTTTAGAACTGTATTTCAAAATTGTACAGGAAAAAAGGCAATTAAAGAATATTTTTCATTGGCACTTTACCACGTGACGGGCACTGTGCTAGGAGATTATTTCACCTAATTTCCCAAGGTACATTTCTAGCCCAGATAGTTCTGACCTGAGCACTCGCTCTACAACTTATATTGACAATAATGAATGCTAAGAGATTTAGAGAGAAACAAATTTCCAATGTTTTACAGTGAGCAGCTACCACACTTAGAACATTCTACTATGATGTTAAGTGTGCCAAATACTTCTGTACCTACATATTTATCTCTTGGAACAAGGAACTTTACATCTCTGTTCTCTTGGTGGAAAAACTGAGACTTTAAACCACAGAAACAAAAATAACTTCTTTATGACCACAGAATTAAGATTTGAACCTAGATTTTTGTACTCTCAATTTTACTGATCAATCTCAACACCCAAAAGAATGTTTTTTGATGAAGCCTGAACCTTTAAAAAAAAACGCTTTTTATTTTAAAACCAAGGTTAACACTCACATAGAAACATAAATTCATATAAAGTAGAAATTTTGGAGAAGTCCTAATACTTACGAACCCAATTTCTGTACTCTACAACTCACCTTATGAGGATGCTTGACATGAACACAAAATCCCAACTCCTTTAGCACCCTCCTCTCTGCTTTGATAACTTGATTTTTGGTGTTAATGTAGTTCTGATCAAGGATCAGGGGGCTTGGAGTCCTATAGTTTGTAAGAAATAAAATCAAAACTGTTTTGCACATCCAAAAAATTTTATTTGTGGCATCTCCATTTTCCCTTCCAACCAACTATTGGCAACAGAAACCAGCTTTTTAAACTCCTGCAAACAAGTTAAAGCATTAATCTTGTGCTGTCCAAGTTATGCTAATTAAATATATACATCTACGAGACTAAGTTCAACTAAATTCTATAATGGAAAAAATTCAATCTAATGCTCTTGGGTTCATCCTTGTCAACTTTTCCATTCTGCTTATATTCTAGGGGGGTGTGTGTGTGTGTGTATACGTATTTAACTTTAGTGATAGTGTGATTTGTTATCACAAACCTCAAAGTCTAAGAGACTTTCCACTGACAAAACTAGTATGCTCCAGGCTGGTCCGACAGCAGTGGGTTATCAGAACTTACTAACATCAGTGTCACTAAAGTTGGTAGACAATCCCCCACTGCTAAATTTGACTGGCTTAAAAAAACACAAAAAACTAACGTGCTCCTAAGATTTACAGTACTATAAAGTCCTCAAAAGATCATACTGATTTTTTACTCATTCTATAAAATAACAACTGTTGGCTGGTTTATGGCCAAAATTTTTTAAAAACTTGGTGGTGGGGGGGAACAGTGGGTAGTTTATCCAGATTCCCCTAATGGGGTGATATGTTTTTAACAATTTGTTCTAAGAACCTACCTGTTTAAAAAAGTAATCTGAAAACTAAAGATTCAGCTCAATTATCCAAGTAAATTAAAATTTGTATTACATGATTCATGAGATCCAGGCCAAAATTTCATCAGGGTTATGGTTTTAGGCAATACACTTTAGTATTAATACAAAAGGGAATGAAGGGCCATAGTGAGGGAACCAGAACATATTCAAGAGCTCTGTATCCGACTAAATTTTGGTAATTCAGAAGGTTCTAAAATACAGAAAGCTTATGTCAGTGATTTAATGCTTTAAAAGTATTTGGGGATAACATCCGTTGAATGTTATCCCCAAATGTTCTATTATATAGTTTAAAAACCTACCACTTACAACAAAAGACTATCTTATTTATGTCTTACAATTCAAAACTGGTTTCTTCCTGAGAAGATTTAGTCAGGAAAGGTTAAGGAATTGAGCTTTTATTTTTTGTTGTTGGTCATGTCTGAAATTTACCCATGTCCAATACAGTCTTAGATCCAACCAACAAAAACTACAGTTTTATCAAGACATTGATTATATGGTAAGTTTACAGGTTGAACACTTAAATATTATTGTCCATACTCAGCCAAAAGACTTAAGAGTCTTTGTTCTAGGCAGAATACACAATCTATTTTTAAAACAGTGATCCTCTCTACCCCAGTGCACACCAGATCCAGAAAAATGTAATCTCGTATTTTAAAAACCAAAGTCTATTTCAATACATGCACCTGAAGGTTAGATAATCTGAAATGATCTTTGTTACCCTTATAGTAACATCAGAGTAAAAAGTCAGCTATCATACATTTTCCTTTCTTCCATTTAAAATTATTACAGAAACTGGAATGCTTACTAAACAAAAACTGGCAGAGCTGACAAGATAAAAAACAGCTGTTACTTAAAATGGCCTTCACTTAGTTCTATTTCTCACACCTGCAATGAGGCCATCAGTTGGCCTCATTGAGCTGCTTTCTAACACTAACATGTAATGATGAATCCACTCTATCAGGGCAATAGGCTACAAATTGCTCTTTGGAAAAAAAAAGTCAAACTTAATTCTCCTTAATTCTCATGAGAGCAACCTATCGCTCTTGCTCTCTCTCTCTCTCTATACACACACACACACACACACTCTCTCTCTCTCTCTCTCTCTCTCTCTCTCTCTCACTCACTCACTCAGATCTTAAGGTTTATGATCAGGCTTTATCATCATAGGAAATTTGTAAACAAGTTAAATCAACCTCACTCTTTTTAACTGAATGGCTGTGTTATCTAATGGCTCTCCTTAAACTGGCATTAAGAGATAAAATAGCTCCAGTTACAGCTGCACAGTTTTAACTCTTAACCCCTTGCAATCCAGACAGTAGACTGTATCATCAAAATTCCTAATAAAATATAATTTTATGAAAGTATAGTTGTCTCATTTTTCTCCATTTATGTTAATAAAGATTATCTATACCTTTAAAGATAATCTGCTTTAAGAGCTGCCTTCAAATGGTGATAATTCATTTGTTCTTCTAATTACACTAAAGCAGCTAAATGTTTGTTTAAATCATAGCTATTTAGTCCCAAATAAGATTTAATCATGCCATATACTGTTTGTGTCAAAATCCCAATGATACCAACATAGATTTAAGAAAACCAAACCCATTATTTACTATAATTCAACTACATACTCAACTGCTTGCTTAATCCTATGTATTACCTGCAGTTTTCAAAGTTAACTTTGTGGGTGTATAACCTAAAACCAGAAACCTTATTATGTTCAGAATTGGTTTTACCTCACAAATTAAGGATGTACCCACAACTTTCAACTGCCTGCTAGAGATTATTTTGTATCGTAAATTTAAAAAAATGTATCTCCATAAATCAGCAGTAAAAAAAGTTTCAAAGTATAAATTAGTACTTTGTTGCAACAAGTACATTAAATTAAGGCCTGCTAGAATTTCTTCCTCCCCAATCAAATAATAAACTTTCCTTGCCAATAAAGTCTGGAAACATGGCATTTTAAAATCTCTAAAAAAGACTTCAGAGAAAACAAAAATAATTTTCATTATCAACACATAAACTAACTCAATCTCTGCTTTAAGTTTCTATTGTCTGATTTTTCTGATCTATACATGAATAATTTTTAACTTTAGAAAATCCTGGTCTTTGGTCATTAGAAGTTTATTAGGTAGTTTGTTAGAGGCGCGATTTTCCTTTAGCATGATTATGTAATTGACATATAACTCAACAACAAAAATTACGAAGTCCAAACATGGTTAGTCTCATTTATGTGTTATAAAGACTGAGAAATTTTGAAACTAGATCTTCAAGACACTATATTAATAACAGGTCATTTACAAAGAGGCAGACTGCCAAGGAAATATACAGAAATTTGTAATGCCTACTTCAAAGAAAGTAGAAACATCTTTTACAGGTATTTAAATAAACTGAAGGCCACCTTGTAGAGCCACAGAATTAAACTACAGAAGGCTGGCAGACTAAAGGACATCACTTAACACCCTTCCAATTCTTACCTATCCAACTTTTATGATCTATGAATACAATGAAAATATATATTTAATGATGAAAAATATATATTTAATAATGAGAATGGCTAAACAAGTCTTTAAAAATGTTAATATGCTACATCTCAGAAGTAAATATGACAAAGCAATCATTCCTCTAAATTTAGCCATTCATTCTGAACCTAAACGATAATTACTGAACCACAAAAAATTTGGAGGAAGAATAGGCCAAACAATCCAGGTTGGGGATTAAGCACTGGTATTTTTTACAAAGCTTCTCTTAATTCTCAATGTGTAGCCAGGCTGATGAGACCAAAGACCTACAGGCGACATGAATAATATATTTCCACTGTAACTGTCAGTCACACTACAATTTAAAGTTATGCATCAACTAGATTAAAACAAATAGCATCATTAAGACAAGTGATATCCTTTGCCTAACTAAAGTGTAATACTGATAGTACTTTCTAATGACATTAACCTATGCAAAAATAAATACAAAGCTATAGTTCTAATAACTTGGACAGCAAAGACAAAAGCTTATAACAAGAAACAGGAGTTTTTCTAAATGGTTCACCAGTGGCCAACCTGTTAGTCCCCGATTCCAGTGACCTATTCTCAGAGCACTGGCTTCTCCTTGGGGATTTTCGATACTTCACTCACTGTTGCCATGACGACAGCTTCATCTCTATGTACCACTCCACATCACCCAGGCTTTGGTAAATGTAGCTGGTCGCTGTATAGTCGGTTGCAAGGGAAAAAAGAGTTGAAGTTAATAACATATACAAGTTACGTGCTTGAGTAAACTTGTAATATGCATAGAAACACTTTTACATCCTGCTTTAAAAAAAGGCTTCCATGCAATTAACAACTCCTTTTAAATTCTGCTATAATCAGACTTCTAAGATTGAAACAAAAATCAGTTTTCTCTGTAATAATGACCCAAAAAAACAAAGTTCCATCAGACACAACAATCAGGTGAGATCATACTATTTTAAATTCCATGGTTTTTACAGTTAAGACCTATTCTGACATCAGCAAAGAAAACTCAGTCTCAAAGGAAACTTCACAAAAGATAATCATGTGATTACATAATAGTTGGCTCAATAGTTCAAAGGATAATACTAGAAAACCATTTCCTTTAAGCAAAGAGAAACCTTTGACTAAAGATAGAGCCTTGTATTAGTGTCATGACTTTAAACATCCCGAAGAATCAGTCAGGTATCTAAATAGATTTAAGCTCAGACCATACCAATTACCAATTTGAAATCTTCCCAATTCCCAGGGACTTACCAACAAACTAAAAGATATTTTAGAATTTAAAAACTAACTCTATCCCTGGACACAGTTAAGGTGAATGAGTAAAGATGGGGGAGAAAAAGTATGTAAGAAAACTGAGACTTTTGACTAGGATACTCTTGAAAAAAACAAACTGTAGACTCACAGAATAGACTAGTCATCTAAAAGTTTCTTTAATATTTGCTTATCTGAATAGTTCCATTACTGCCAACTTACAGATTCACTCATATAAGGACTACACATATAAGATACCGACTTGGCACTAACCAACATACCCAACCCCCAGAACAACTTATGATCCTTTTAATAACTTCCTTTCAAACTCAGTACAGTTTGTTGAACTTCACTACAATTCCTTAAAGAGTGAATACAAAAACTAATCTACACCAAATATAACCTTCTGCAGCATGTACTGGAAGTCACCTGTAGATGCAAGAAGTCTTGCAACAAACTTTTTGGTACTGCCTCACAGGAACACATAGGTCCGTATAAAGTTGTTATCGCAACACCTAGCAGATACTATTTCAGTCTCTGCATTTTCTTACAACATCAAATAAAAGGGCCTTACCTAAATGCAACCCAATCACTCTTGTTAATTTTCTAACCCACTCACTGAGACTGTATCTGACCAAACAAAATACCTGTTTAATCCCTTTGACTTCAAACTTCAAACTTTATCATCCTGCAGTCCTTTCAGATCCGGTATTATTCGATATATCGTAGTTCAATGTTGAGAAGTACTCTAACAAAAGCCAACCTCAATTGATAAAGAATTAACTGGGACTTCGAATAGAAAAACATAATCTACACAGAACTTTGCCACAATATTAACTTAAACTACAGTGTTTAAACTTCCAGCCTTCAGTCTTCCAGAGAGGGGAGGGGAAAAATAACAGAATACACTCACACTTGAGCCAAATGTATTCCCTTTCTTGTTTAATCTTAAGCCACAGGCCTGGCTTCACAGCACTGTTAGGATTGTCCATAAACGCAACTGCCTCTACAAACTTTAGATAACTGGTTAATTATGGATTTTTTCAAATTAATTTAAATATCAGTGTTCCTATATGAACTTTAACACCTAAATTAAAGTCCGTTTTCTTTTGCACCCATATTCACTTGAGAGGAAAGATGTTTTGACTTGATGACTGGTGCACGGTACAGCAGTAGCAAGAGATGCTATGTTCAATAATGCCAATCTTACCTTTTTCCTCTTAACTGGCGTAGGTGGTGGAATACATTAATCACATCTCTTATTCTTCTAGGTGCTTCTTCGATTTTTGATGCAAGATTAATACAAGCCATAGCAACAATCTGAAAGAATCCAGGAGAAACAAAAACCATTGTTAGATTAAACTTACTATGATGAATAAACTTTAGTACACAAACGGGACAACCTTTAGTAAAATTAGAGAGGACATTTGTATGCCATAAGCTTACTAGCTACGCTCGTACCATACTCTTTTTGTTGTTCTACTCATCTTGATTTTGGTTCCAGAGTCAAGCTCAATCTCACAGTGAGTTCTGCATTTGGTTGAAAACTGTACTTGCCTTAAGAGGGCACACTTAGGCTCGGGATCCATTTTCTAGTCTGAACACATTCTAAAGGTTTCCACTTCCTGGCGAGTAAGAACTAGGTACAAAGGCCTAAACTAAACCACACCCTTTCTGGAAAAGCTGGCTGCTGACACTACCCCTACTTCTGCCCATTTCCGGATGAAAAATCCCTTTTAACCGCCTCCGCAGTGCTTACCTCGAAACTGTGTTTGACGAAAGATTTGGAGTAGAAAAAACGATGAAACAACACCTGCCCCGTTGCCATCGCCACCTGCAGACAAGAGAGGAGAACCGAAGCGCAGGGGTCAGGCGGGCCCGCTCCAGGCGCCGGCCGCCATTTTGTGCCGCCGCTCGCTTCCCTTTCCCCTCCCGCCGCTGCAGCCGTCGCGAACAGCACGCTGCCGGGTCCTCCCTCCGCCTCCGCAGCCCCCCCACCCCAGCACGCCCCGGCCCCGGGTGGGCCCCAAGCGGGAGAGCCTGAGAGAGCCGTCCCCACCCTGCCGGGGCACAGTGATACTGGGATACGGCGTAGGAGACGAAAGGGAGGAGAGGAGCACCCGGCCGGTCGGGGGTCGGAGCACTGACCTGCGGCAGCCGGAGTAGAATGCCGGCGGCCTGGATGAGCTCGCAGCCCAGGATGCGTAAGTCTGTCTCGCTGGGCAGGTCGAGCCCGTCCTGCATGGACGGGGTGGGCGAGAGCCTCTCCTCCGGAATCAGAGAGTGATCGATGGTGAGTGAAACTTCCGAGTACAGGCGGTCGCCGATCAGGATCCCTCCCGTCGTGGTCGTGGTCGTGGTCGTGGTCCCGGAGCTGGAGCCGCCAGCGCTTGGGACGGCTGACGAAGCGGCGGCGGCGGCGGCAGCAGTAGCTGTCGGGTGAGGCCCGGACGCCATAGTCTTAGCGAGCTGCACGCAAGCCCAACGCAGCCGGAACCCGAAACAAGACTAACCAGCGTTCTCGGCGCGACGGATATTCCCGTGACCGCCGGGTTCTCGGCCGCTTCACGCCGTGTGCGCTTCCGCCCTGACGTCACCACGCCCGGCGGCCGCCCGCCAACTAGTCCCTCCAGGCAGTGCCCCCGCCCTTGGCGTCTGGGCCTGCGCGGGGACCGTCAGGTGCTGCGACCGACTTTGGGGCCAAGGAGGCCGTCTCTAGCCAAGGCCAGTCGAAACCACCTTGTCTGCGATACTTAGCCACACAAAAAACGGAGCTTAACAAGACCCCTTATGCCCAAAATAGAGGTGACAGCATTGACTATTCCTGCTTCCGTCCTCTCCTTTAGCCTCGGCGCGGCTCTTGTTTCGCTTGTACCAAGGGAAGTGGCGGCCGATCTAAGCACGCTTTGGCGGGTGGAAGTGGTGACTCTGGTGTCGTATGTGGACCAATGTGTAATATAAAGTGACCCTCAAGGAATCGGGAGAGGGTGCTTTACAGTATTTGAAGAACACAGGGCTGTGGACCGTATCGGTTCCCAAATGAAAGCTCCACGGAAAGCGTGTGGTTCCCAGTGTGGGGAAGTAGAGCGGAGGCCTAGGAATGATCGGGAGGGTGGCTGCTTTCGTAGCTCCGCTTGCGAAACTCGTGGCTGGCTTTTGACACCGGCACGGCTTTCAGTAATCTGGAAAATCCCTAGTTTCCAAAAATAGTCTTAGAGGGAGGACTTGACAGAGATAATTTGATCATGCCTAGGAGTCTCTAGGCATAATCATACATAGTTACCTACCGCGGGTAGGCAGAATGGGTGAAGTCAACCTTGTAGTTATTTCCTCTGATACTAGCTAGCAATTTCCAGTGTTTCCAGAAACTTGAAGTAAAAATAATACTGATCCAAACTACTAGAATCTACGTTGGAAGGAAAGGAATATGTCACGGTTTACTCTTGACGCTCAGAAAGCGATACCCCAAAGAATGAGAGGCTTTAGAAGCTGCCTCATAGTCTAGGGGACCTAGACTGCTTCCAGGGAATCTTCCTAACAAGATCCCTTATGCCCAAAATAGAGGTGACAGCATTGACTATCATTCCTGCTTCCGTCCTCTCCTTTAGCCTCGGCGCGGCTCCTGTTTCGCTTGTACCAAGGGAAGTGGTGGCCGATATTCCCACCTCAATATTTATGAGAGATCCTAATGTTGACTTGTTACCCCCCTTTTCCCTAAGTGCAGGGAGATTCTGAAATTTCCTTCTCTGACTAGAGAAGCCTCTTTGTAGGAGAAACAATCACATTGCTCCCCCTCACTGAAATCTCTTACCTATTTCAGAGACTGAGAAATACAGCCATGCCTGGAGGGACTTTTTCACAAGATAACTCAAAATCATTTACTAGTTAATTTCCTTCCATTCATTCTTACTAATAACCATTTGCTGCCCCTCAAAATAAATGTCTACATTCCCCATCTTTTTTGTCTTATGAATAAAGGATATAAAAGCTTCTGTACTCCATTAGGCTACTGGATAATCATTCTCCTGCTATTCCCCAGTGTTAGGTATGCCTTTTCTCCTGTTAGTCGCCTTTTATCAGTTGATTTTTGAGTGAACCTTCAGAGGCCACAGTTGTTTTCCGTAGGAAACCTCAGCCGTCTTTTTAATCCTACACTGAACCTCTGAGACATTGTCCAGAGATGAGAAATCTCATTACCTTTCTATTGGGTAGTTTGGGTTTTTTTTAAAGGCTTAATTTGCCTAATTATGAGAAGTACATTGAAACATGAATCTTTAAAGGCGATTTGGATACCTTTTAATATTTGTCAATGACGTCATTAAAAACATTCAAAAACCTCATTAAAAAAAAAAGCATTATATCCACGTATCTACAGCCATGGTTCCGAACCCAGACTGAACATTAGGATCTCCTGAGAATATTTAAAACATACTGATACTTGAGCCTTGCCTGCAGAGGTTAATGTCATTAATTTAAGTTGGGCCCAGCCAGTGCCTCAATTTCACCTGTCTTCCAATGATTGGAGTGTACAGCCAAGAGAGTGTCATTATTATGGTGCTGGCTGGATGTCACTGCCTTCACTTTCTGACTAGGCTGCTTCTAGGGAATCTTCCCACCTCAATATTTATGAGAGATCTATAATTTTATAACAGACTTTTAAAGGAGCCTCGGATTCCTTAAAAACAATTAACGATACCAGTTTTCTGGTTTTCTTCCATTTTTGTTTTTAGAGCCACTGTCTCACTGTTGCTCAGGCTGGCCTTGAACTCCTGGGTTCCAGGGATCTTCCCACCTCAGCCACCTGAGTAGCTGGGACTTTAGGTGGCCCACCACTGTGCCTGGTCAGTTTTCTGGTTTTGATGCTCTATGGTTGTGTGAGATATCATTGGGGAAAGTTGGAGGAATATACAGGAGAAGTCTATTTTTTGCAACTTCCATGTCTTATTTCCAAATAGAAAGTTAAAAAAAAAACAAACCCTAATTGATTATGTACTTCATTGAAACATTAGACTTCAATAAAATCATCATCTATATTTGTAACGACTTGAGAGTAATATAATTTATTTTTAAGACATATCTTAATGGAAGATTTTCTCCTCTTTACAATCTTCTACCATGCCTCTCCAATAAGCTGACTTGCTGATGTCTTGACACAATTTATGATACTTTTTTACTCACTTGGCCCATGATTAATTCATGAAGGTTCACAGGCATGGGAGAGAGACGTCTGGGGGATGCAGGTGGGAGGAGGGTCCCTTGCTCTCCAGTAGTACACCTTTCTCTCTACTTCGGAGATCTGTTCCCAGTGGACCTCTGGTCTCTACTTGCTGTATCTGGCAGTCATTTCCAGGAGAGCAGAGTCACCCAGGGCAGGCAGTTCTATAACTTTCTGTGCATTTCCCACTCACTTCTGACAGAACTCATCATTTTATTGAAAACTCACAATTGTTTTTACTGTTCCTCTCTCCCAGCCTCAACAAAGTGGAGGGGGTCAATCAATATTTTATATAAGTATTTACTTAGCATTAACTCATCAAACTGTCATGTTATTTTAAACTTTAGTTTCATTTTGTAAAAATCCATGACACACTAATTGGAGGCGGCAAAAAAAAAAAAAAAATTCTAATCCAGAGGATAGAGGGCATTGGGGCTAGTGGCTCTATTCCACAAGGTTTTGTAAAGATGGAGTCTATTTTGTAAGCATGGAGAGCCATTTTAAAAAAATGAGTCCATATCTGCAAATGGAAGTAAAAAATAATTTTTAAAAAGGATAACTCTGCCCTATCCTTTTCAGGGACAAATTCTAGAAAAATCATACTTTGGAAAAACAATTACACTGTTTCTTTTTATTTTCTTTCTCTTCATTTTTTTGAGACAGGGTCTTACTCTGCCTCTCAGGCTGGAATGCGGTGGCACTATTATGGCTCACTGTTGCCTTGACCTCTCTGGGCTCAGGTGATCCTCCCACCTCAGCCTCCTAAGTAGCTGGTACTACAGATGTATGCCACCACTAATTTTTATATTTTTTGTAGAGATGAGGGGCTCGCTATGCTGCCTCAGCTGCTTTGGAACTGCTGGGCTAAAGAGATCCACCCACCTAGGCCTCCCAAAGTGTTAGGATTACAGGAGTAATCCGTGGGGCTCAGCTGTGTTACATTGTTTCTGTTACTTTGAGAAAGGTTGTTCTTCCAAATGTACTTACTTACAAAACATTAACATTAAAACACAGATATGGGAAAGACCACTGTGCAGTGGCTCACACGTGTAATCCCAGCACTTTAGGAGAACAAGCGGGGAGGATCGCTTGAGCACAGGGGTTTGAGACCAGTTTGGGCAACAAAGTGAGACCCCCGTTTTTTGTTTGTTTTTGTTTTGTTTTGTTTTTAAAGGAAAGGAAAGAAAAAAAAGTGGAAGGGGTAAGACCTATTCACAATTATAAAGGATTCAGCGTTAGGAAGAGTGAAGCTCATTTTATTTTATTCTATTTATTTATTTAGACAGGCTCTCACTCTGTTGCCCAGGCTGGAGTGCAGTAGCACGATCACAGCTCACTGTAGCTTCAACCTCTCAGGCTCAAGTGACTCCCACCTTAACCTCTCCAGTAGCTGGGACTACAGGTACATGCCACAATGCATAGCTAATTTTTTTAAAAAATTATTTTTTGTGCAGACAGACAGAATCTCACTACATTTCACAGGCTGGTCTTGAACTCCTGGGCTCAAATGATACTGCCATCTTCACGTCCCAAAAGTGCTGGGATTACAAGGTGTCAGCCACTGCACCTGGTCAACCCCACATTTTAATTGTATATGTTGGTGCAAAAGTAATTACAGTTTTGCCATTTTTAATACCAAAAACAATTACTTTTGCACCAACCTAATATAGAAGCATTAGTAGAAATGAATCCAGGCAGGTGAGATGAGATACTGGAAAGTAAATGATTGAGTTACTTGTCACTGGAAAGTAAATGATTGAGTTACTTGTCACTCTAAGAAAAAATGTAATGGTAATTCTGTAATTGTACACACACAGCAGAGGTCTGACTAGTAGACCCTGAGTTCACCCATGTCTAAGGAAATCCAATGATAAGTAAACATATCATTACTGTTTCAACATAGGCAGGCTTCCAATGACAACTGAAGAGACAAGTAGAATTATCAGTGGACTACCTGGGGCTACTGAAGAATGATATATCTGATGTTTAAATTAGTTCTCATTTTATTAGACTTGTTAGCCTCTCTGGGGAGTATGGTTTTCATTATTTAAATTTTGGGTTCTTTAATTTTAAAATCACAACTGGCATCATTACATTAATTTCTTCAGCAGTTATTCACCAGTAGACCACAGGAATTTAATATTTTGCCACCAAAACTTAGGCAAATGAAGTCCCCAGTTAGAACAAGCTACACTCAGTACACGAGAAGACAAATGTTAAGGTGACCAGCAAGTGTAAAAAGCAGGCAGAGAAGGGATAAATCATCATGGTTGATGACATTATGGAGAAGGTATCACCTTAAGAAGTTGCTAATCAAATTTCTGTTGATGGCAGACAATGGAGCATCTGCCTTTATGCATGAGCTGTTCATGTAGTTAAATGACTATTTTTCATTTATATGTTTAGCTGTTATATGACTACACACATTCTGAATGGGTTACTCTCTTCATTAGAAATAGAGACACTCTGTAAATGATTTATTTGTAATGAACACTTGGGCATATGCTGCCTGGTACATCTCCTGATAGCACTGGCCTGGGAATTCTGCTGCTGGCTTTGCTGAGAATTAGTCCTGAGACTTTGGGCAAACATAGTTTTTTCAGCTTTAAAATGAGAGAGTCTGACCCTTGCAGGTCTAAAATTATTTGACTCTGATCGTAAACATATCTTGAACTTTAGACTCATTTTTGGTTCTTGTTTTTCTTTCTGTGTTAATCACCAAGGAAATTGTTCTTGAATCTCCCTGTTCTCTGTATTCTCACAGCTACACATCTGCTGTGTCTGTCCTACCAGTACAGCCCTCTCTCCCTAATAGAGGCTCCAGGGCCCCCATTTATCCTGCTCTCTTTGAAGCACTTTGTAGCAGATCAGCCGTGTTTCCACTTTTGCTCTATTCTTTTTCTTACGATGGGCTAAATAGTCTATAACTTCTGCTCCATATGGGCATGGGCTGCAGAACGAGAGGTCTGTTGGAATTGCCATAACCAGAGAGATTGTGTATATTGTGGGGGCCAGGGAGAGTTTGGGAACTCACGGAAAGCAGTACGGTGAAGTGTTTTGGTATCTGGTACACATGTAGGCTCTGGGACAGTCTTGGAGATAGGTCTACAAATTGGACATATGTGACTGAGATGTATGGCCAATAGCAGTTTTATAGACTGAACTACAAAGTCAATAAACCCACAAGTTTGCTTTTAGAGCTAAAGTTAATATTATCCAATTCAATCTCTTTTTTTTTTTTTTACACACGAGGAATCTAAGGTCCAAAGAGGTGCTTGCAAATAGTAGATAATAAATATTAGGTGATTGTAAATAATCTAATCAAGTCAGTCTTCAGACAGATTAATTCTTTTGTTTTTGAGATGGAGTCTCTCTTTGTCACCCAGGCTGGAGTGCAATGGTGCAATCTCGGCTCACTGCAACCTCCCCCTCCCGGGTCCAGGCGATTCTCCTGCCTCAGCTTCCGGAATAGCTGGGATTACAGGCATCTGCCACCACACTTGCTAATTTTTGTATTTTTAGTAGAGATGGGGTTTTACCATGTTGGTCAGGCTGGTCTGGAACCCCTGACCTCAGGTGATCCATCCACCTTGGCCTCCCAAAGTGCACAGATTCATTCTTTATGGTATTTAATGCCAGAACCAACTAGTCTTGGTTTTAGTCAGCAATTCAAGAGTAAATCTACTTGTCAGAACCCATCAAGGGAATATGGCTTTGATGACACTGATTTCAGACCAGTGAACCTGACTTAGGATATCTGACCTCCAGAACTATTAGAAAATAAATGTATGTTGTTTTAAGCCATCAAGCTTCTTGTAATTTGTTACAGCAGCCTTAGAAAACATACAGTGACCTTAGGGATTCTTTAAGTAAAGGTAGACTTCAGTAATATCTTCATCTCAATAGCACTGGAAAATCAGATAAGCCATATAAATTATGTTTTTTAATGTTATTAGATGTGGGCCACAGCCTTAAGCCAGAGGTTAGCTTTGTAAGGCAGGAAAATATAAAATGATAAAAGCTTCTCTACCCATAGTTTTTCTGACTTGTACTCAGAGTGGGACAACCAGCGAAAATTGCAGGTAGAGAAAAGAAATGCATATTTATTCCTCCACTGGGAACAAAAGTCCTGTCAAGATATATGTGACTTCAGGTAAATTAATCTGCTTATTTAGGCAATGATTTAAGCTCAATTTACTCACCAATAAAATGGTAACACCTACCACAAAAGACCGTTGTCAGGTAAAATGATTATAGATTAATTCATGTGTTTTCCAGTCCTTGGAAATGCAGATTCCTTATGTGGTGTTGGTCAATGGATAATGCCTGTTGTTCTGGCCAGGGATTTTTAATCTGTCAGCTATGAACAGTTTGTTTTCATTCATTCATCTTTAAATTCTTACTTATTAATTGACAACTAAGTACCAGATTCTGTTCTAAGCATTGGGAATGTTTCTCTAAAAGTTTCTAAAAAGACTTCTGCCAAGATAGCTGAATAGCAACAGCTCCGGTGTGCAGTTCCCAGCAAGTGTGCACCAGAAGATAGTGACCTCTGCATTTCCAACTGAGGTACCAGGTTCATCTCATTGGGACTGGTTAGACAGTGGGAACAGTCCAAGGTGGGCAATCTGAAGCAGGGTGGGGCACTGTCTCATCTGGGAGGCATAAGGGGCCTGAGAGACTCTTGCTGTCAGCCATAGGAAGTCATTAGGGACTTTTCCCAACACTCCAGCACTCTGGCTCCGATACTGCACTTTTCCCAAGGTTTACACAACCCGCAGACCAGGAGATTTCCTCTGGCACCTACAATGCCAGTG